GCGGCTCCCTGCGGGCACCTTTAAATCCTGGGGGCTGAACTGGGGAGCGGGGCTGGGTTGGGATGCTCAAGGGATGGGAAAGGGATAGGAATGGGGATGGCAATGACGAGTTGGAGATGGGAATGGGGATGGGGACAGAGCCGGGGATGGTGATAAGGAAAGGATGGGCTTGGGGATAGGGAAGAGCCGCAGTCAAAGCTAGCACACTGTGAGAAGGGTCATCCCTGCAAAGGATTATCCCGCTGCGAAGGGCAGTGCCCGGAGGGCAGCATGGGATTATAGCATCCCACAGGATGCAGGATCCCAAGCAAATGAAAACCCTGTGCCTTGCAGGCAGGGATGTAACCCAGTCAAAGACTGGTGCCATGTGGGTTCCCTATGGGAACCTGGAGTCCCTGGCTGCAGTGGGAGCGCCCTGCCAGCCAGGACGAGGTGCGAGGCGGTGCTGGGATCTTCTGCCTTCACAGGGTGAAGGAGCGGCACCACCGGGGCCGGCCCAACAGCAGCTCGGAGTCATCAACCAAGCACTCCCGGCACGCCTCGGAGCGGAGGAAGAGCCCGTCCCCCAGCCCGGGCCAGCGCAGCAGCTCCTGGAGCTCCAGCGGCTCCCTCTCCAAGTCCCGCTCCCGCTCCCGGGAGAAGAGAGCAGGGCGCAGCCGCTCCCGCTCGCCCTCGCCGAAAAAGCCAGCCAGCAGGTCAGGCCCGAGGGGACAGCCACACGGGGACACCGCGGGTGACAGCAGTGGGCTCAGAGGGCATCGCCGCTCAGGGTGGTCCCGGCTGCCCTGGGGCTCGGGGAGGGGTCGCAAGTCATTGTTGGTGACATTGGAAACGCCAGCCCCAGGTAGAAGTGTCATCAGTGCAGGGAACTGCTGCCACAGGGTGGCCCTGATTCCCAGACGGGACCCCAGCCCATTCCCTGACCCTCCTCCTCCTCCCCGGGGTGTAGAGAGAAGGACAACGAGCCCCGAACACGTCACGGTGATCCCGATCCCGCCCGCCCTCGGCGCCGCTCCAGGAGCTACTCCCCCATCAGGAAGCGGAGACGTGACTCCCCCAGCTTCATGGAGCCCAGGAGGATCACCAGGTGTGTCCTGGCATGTGGCAAAGGCTCTGCCACCACCCGGGGATGAGATGTGCTGGCCCCAAAGGGTGCTTGGGTGGGTGGGTGGATGATGGATGGATGGATGGATGGATGATGGATGGATGGATGGATGGATGGATGGACACACAGATGGACAATAGCAGCTCTGTGGATACACAGATAACCCCGAGGATGACTGGGTGAATCAGCTGGCCCAGACAGATGGGTAACCAGACTGCCTCCAATACTGTGACCTTCTGATCTCTTCCTATTTCGAGGCATGAAAACAGGAATTAATTTTAATCCGCCTGTGCATGTTCCAGCAATACGCACGTTCGCAATCACGTCTCTCCTGCCCTCCAAAAGCTGGTTTCTACTCCTTGGGATCCTATTGCCTCAGGATCCTGAGCTGTAAGACAGGCAATACTTCGTGCCAGACGAAACACTGTGTGCATATGTAGCACCTCGTTAAGATGCAGCGCTGGTGGCGGGGCCGTGCCGAGCCGAGATTACCTCCTTCCTGACCTATTTGTCTCTCCCGCTATCAGCTGGGAGATCGGGGGGGCTGGATTTTCAGAAATCAGCTCTGCCTCCTTCTCTGTGAGGGATTTTGTTTTGCCTGGGCAGGACTGGAGTTGTCAGGAGGGAGGACAGGAGAAAGGACAGGAGGAACACTGCAGAGCCCATGTGTTAGAGCTCCCCACAGTTCTCCCTGGTGGATGCCCTGGAAAGAGAAAGGGCTGGGAAAGCTGCTCCCAGCCCAGCCCAGGTGCCACTGTCTGGTTTTCCATCCCTCCTGCTCCATCCTGGTTTTGCCAGGATGTCCCCAGGGAGGCGGCAGGGCTCAGCTGGAGAACACAGTCCATGGTCCCTGTGAGGACTGTTCATCCCATCCCCATCACCATCCCGGGGTGGATGGGGATGGCAGACCCCGCTCTGCTCGGGGTTCAGGAGGAGCAGAGCCATTTCTGTGGGGCATAGAGGATGCTGTGGGGAGGGGGCAGCCAGAGAAACACCCCCAGCCCCCCTTGCCTGCTCCATAGCCCAGCCAGAAGCCCCAGGGCTTTTCTTTGCCCTCCTGCCCTGTCCCCAGTTCCCATCACGCCCCTCCACCATGTGGTCCTACCTCAGTGATGCCAACTTCTCCTTTTCCATTTCATCCCAAGGTCCCTCCCGGAGAGCATCGCCGCCAGCCTGGCTCCCAGGGTAACCTTCCCCCTTCCTCCTCCTCCTCTTCCTCCTCCTCCTGGACCCCCTCTGTGTCTCCTCACACCTTAGGATGCCCTCGGCACCCAGCCACTCTCTGGTCCCACTAACACCAGGCTGGGAGAAGGGACAAGGGGCCGACTCCTGCTGTCGCTGCCCCCTGTGTCCCCCCACCCCACTGTCCCCGTGCTCCCCGTGTCCCTCCTCATCCTCAGGCGCCGGCAGGCCGCAGCTCGCCTCCCGCTAATCCCAAACGTCTCTTTTTTCAGCAGCTTTCAATCTTTGGTGTCTGGGAAACACAAAAGCCACATTAACCTGCTCACTTTCTACCCTCGACGCTGCCTAATCCAGGACTAACACCCCGGGGGAGGGGGCTGGGGAGGAGGAGAGGGATGGATGGAAGGGGAGGTGATGCCGGGTGGCCGCATCCTGACACCCCGCAGCCGCTCTGAGCCCGGCCGCTGTGACGCCCGGCTGCCCTGGCTGGATGCTCGGCCACGCCGGGGGTCCAGCGTCGGACCCCTTCCCCGAGCCGCCGCCGGGGGCCTGACTCAGTTTCCCTTTTCCATTTGCAGCGCCCGCAAGCGTCCCATCCCCTACTACCGGCCCAGCCCCTCGTCCTCCAGCTCGCTGAGCACCTACTCGTACAGCCGGAGCCGCAGCCGCAGCTACGACAGCTACAGCTCCAGCCGCAGCCGCAGCCGGACTCGCAGCCCCCCC